ATTATAATACTAATCAATTATAACGGTCCGTTAATACACCGTTATTTTTTAAGCGTCTGTATAACAATAGAATTTAGAAAATTAAAACAATTTATTGGCACGCGTTAAAATTAAAATATTCTTCCGGAATTCAATTAGGTAAATATTTAATTTTATAATTGCGTCGTTTTCAATAGTAGTTTATTAAACCTACATAACCACCCATCGGCACTTATCTATTTGTATATCACAATTACGCACGCATAAACATTATTATTTTATTATAATTTTTTAATGAACTAAAATTCCTAAGTAACGCGGTGCCTATAATTAAAATTGCCCGTAATGTTTGTAGGTTAGTCAAAAATAAATAAAATATCCAATATAATAACATAATACGTATATTCAAAATGAATGATAAATTAAAAATCACCCACATTTATCAATATAATTAGTGAGTATTTAAATTATTAAGTTTGATGAGCGTATTGATTAAAATTATCATATTACTGCAGTATTACGTTAATAAGTAAGTTTTCACGATTATCCAATTAAATTATACATTGTATTATTATTTAATGATTTATTTATTACTATTATTTCATTACCCATCATATTGTGTGTACGATAATATACACAGTGCCTATTAATTTCAGAATGTCACAAGGATACATGGAGAGGGAATAGTTTTTTGACCCAGAGGTTTAGTCATAGGAAACAATTGTATAAGTTGTTCAAGTTGCTTGGAAAAAAAAAAACCTAGGGCTATTTGGATCTAATGTTACTTATAGGTGTTTACCGTTAAGAATATGTAAGTTTTATTGCATACGCGGACACCGTTTGGGTTAAAATTTTGAAAATGGCCTTAAAATGTGTATTAAGGTATCCGACTCGATCTTCCTAAAAAAAAAAAAAACCCATTTCAATTTAAATACATCCGGCTGATATCTTTCGTGAAATCGTCTGAGTGAACCTCGTTGAAATTATATACCTATTTGGTGAAACGATGAAAATGTTATAAAATTAAATGGGTAATACATATTATATCACTTTATTTTATTACAGGTTATTAGTATTATACACGACTCGTTTATAAATTAAGTACCAATACTCTTAAAATCAGGTTTTTGTTAATATTAAATTAAATTTAAGAATCGATACGATTTAGAGTTGATCACACTATTATCAGAAATAATATTTCGAATTTCATTTAAATGCCATCATTAATTTGACATTCAAATTATAACGTAACTTATGTATAAGTACGTATAATATTATTTAAAATCTTTAAACGTTTAACTAAAAACAAAATCAGAAACTCGTTTATTGAGTGAGATTAAATAATATTAAAACAAATTGTAGGTACTTCATTGAACATTAATTTCAATCGAAAATCAATAATACAGATACGTTATAAAACTACCAACAACGCCTTAAAAACAAAATCGACTTTAATATTAAAATTTTATTTCAAAATAGTTGTTACTGCTGATGGGTGCGATAATGTTGTAACTGAAACCTTGAGAAGGTAGGATACAAAAAGTTATTAAATTTATATCTGTAAGTAACAATAAATCATTGCTAATGTAAAACAATTCTGAGCGAATATTTTTTTCACCACTAAGTACAATTTACAAATAATTTTACAATAGAAACAAACACCGTATTACCTGTGGTACTCCAGGCTAAAACGTATCTTCCTATTTTCAATGCGAATAAGCGTTGAATAAGGGAGAGGGTAGTTCTAGAACTATAACGCATTCCAAGTCTAAGTTTATGTTTTGCGTTGTTTTTAAAAAATATTTTCGTGGTAAAAACGCGTTTTCGGTTATATTTTCGACGATTTCTCGATGTAGTTTTCACCGCGGTTCAACCCGAGTCTCGCAAAGCGGTTATTGTAAAATACCAATGGGTATATTATTACATATTGTATTCTCGATGGTCTATAATCTCTGCGAAATCTCGTCGTTCAATCGCACGCGTTATTTCATTTCCTCTCAGCATCCGCGCATACTAAAAAACTGTATATACGGTGCGACGTGTAACGTATACGGGTACACGCGTATGTGTATTGTAAAAAGCATAACAGCTATACCATTTATTATCTTGTTGCGTTCGGTAGTTTTTGTGCTGCCACGGTATCATTTATGCGAGCGCTTAAGACGATGCTGCGGAGTTTACGGGGTAGTTTACGGTATGTTTTTCGTCATCGTCGTGTACGACAAAGAACCGTTCGGTATAGATCACGTTTACGCGGTCAAACGCGCATTTTTACGAAACGCACATTTCCTCCTCCCCCCCCCCCCGTATCGGCCGCAACGTACGTACATCAGCTCGCATAACGTTACGAGAGCGCATTTGTTAAATCCCGAAGAATTAGACCCGTATATTCAATATAATATAATAGTAGCACGTATGCACAATCGCAAGATGCCATCGAAACTAACGTCGCACTATATTATACATATAACAATGTACATATATACGCCGCCGAGCTGTATACCTATACGTTTGTATACACATACGCACACACACACACACACATATATGTATATTATACAGTGTGTACCACTGCACGAGAACCGACGGCGGCGATGACAACTCCTTCGTGTCGGTATAGGTACCCGTATTGTGGTAGTCGGACAAACGGTGTCTCTGTGATGCCGAGAACGCGAAACGTTTAACACACCGCGATAGGATACACGGGTATAATTAACTCGGGGAGTCATGATTCATGTGACCATCAGGTTACCGTCGTGGGTTACCGCCGCAGAATCCAAAACGGTTGCCCCGTATAACACAACTATATAATATAGCGGTCGTGATGAAAACGTTAGCCTATATTATACGTATAGGTGTAGCCGGTGCACAGTCGAATTCAATACGAGTAGGCACACAAAATGTGTACTTTTCATATGCTAGTGTTTAAATACGAGTGTAAATACCATGAACACGACCCGTCCGTTAAGTTATTATTCGTGTACATATTATTACGTAGGTACGTATCTACGACGTATATATTATTAGGTATACATGACCAAACGAAAAATAAACCCAAAGAATGAAAATCCAATTCGTTTCACTGATGTCTGGGCCGCGTATAAATCCTATCCAAGCTGAAACGTAACTGAATTGGTTTTAGGATTTTTCGGAGTATTTCGGAGCATGTTATTATATTTTATTACCCGAGTATTAAATTTGTAATAAATACAAATTACAAAAGAGACGATTAGTGCATATGTCATGCTCTTCTTATTAGTTTGTTATCAGTACCTAATAATTGGATCAATTCGTTCCAAACAATTTAATAGACCCATTGAAAACGTACACGCTATTTTTTTTTAAACGCCTGTGTTTTATTAAAATGTATGATTACTTATAAAAAGTGAGTTAGTTACAAACATTTTTAAGTTACTTTGTATAACATTTTTATTTGTTTGGATTCGAACATGCTCGATAAGAATTGTTATCACATAACTTGACGTCACACTAAACACCTTTATGACTCTGTACACTAGGCATCTCAACACCATAGCCAAACAAATAATTCGGTATACAGATAATAATTTGGTAACAATAATTTGGACATGTTCAACACGTGTGTTTTTATTGACTCTGCGTATTAAAATTTAATTAAAATGTATTTTCGATACAGTCTTCAATACTTGTTAGATTCAAATTAATAATAATTCTGTAGTAATTTGTCTCAGACAGATGAAATACAATATCACTACATAATGTACCAGTTTTACCATAATGCGTGATCATAATGATAGCAAAACCGATACATTTTTCGTTCCGTTCAACATTTCCAAAAGTATCTGCTATCAATACTACTGTAAATCATTCTAAATATTCGAGAAACTTTAAAAAAACAAATAACTCTGTATAATATATTATTATAAACTATAGTATGATACAGGCATAGTATTTATTAAATTTCACGACGAACGTCTATTTATCAATCTTTACGATATTTGAAGCTATATTTTATAACAATATAGGTAGGTACCTATACCTATACTTATCTATTATACACAAATATTTATTTCAATAACGTTGAAATAAATCAATCGAGAAATAATAATGGTTGGTATACCCGTTGGGAAATTATGGCCACGAATTTATTTTAAATGAAGATTCTCTATGGGTGCATTATATTATATATAATAATATAGTGAGGATAGATCCCACGCAAAACCAGTCCATACAATTTCACATATATACCTACTTAGCATGAAAAAGCTATTTTAATTCAAGATAATATTATATGAAATCATTATTGCCTATAATATGCCATTTTAAATTCCATCACCTGGGTAGGTAGTTATTTTATTCGCATTATATATTTCAACCACAATTTAAACTATTTAAACTTTGACCCGAATCAGATTTATTACGGCTATTTTATAATGAGGATAACCAGAGCTCTTTATTTAAATTGGCAAAAACCGTGCGAATAAAAAAATATAAACTGGGAATTATCAATATAATTTATTAGAAAGCGACGGCTTGTAAAATTAAGTAAATCTTGTTTTACTCGACATTTCTATATTAACCGTAAATATTGGTAAAGATTAACCAGTGGTGAATCCGGGGAACGTTGGGGGGGACGATCGTTTCCCCCCGTTTAAAACCTACTATGCATACTCTTGGCTTGATTTTCGTCATACGTGTATGCGAATATGAATTTTCAAAGTCGTCCCCTCCTGTTGTATTGTCCTGGATTTGTCGTAGGTGACGAAAATAGAATTTACTACGGTATTGTGAAGACGCCAAATCTGAAAAAAATATAAATAATTGTGTAAAATAAAAATAATTTGTTTTTCTTCTTACAAATTATAATAATTATTGTTGAATATTTAGTTTATATAAAGGTACCAAATATTTGTTTTTCTCTCTTACATATTATATTAATTATAAATTATTACTATAGAGTGGTAAATGCATGTGCATATGGTATTGATTCTGTAGGGTGAAGGAATTCACCTTATATTTGACAATTCTTCGTGTCACTCTGTGGGAGATCAAAATAGTCCCATACTTGTCATACTTGTCATAAGAGGCGACAAATATGGTTGGGTTAGGTTGGCAGCCGCTGTACAGTTCTGTTAAACTCAAACAGAATGAGGAGTTCTAAACGAGACTGGTGGATTGTCTCGGATGTATGCGGGGAAAATAGGTGAGAAGAGGTACCATCGTGCATGATTTTTGTTGATGATATTGCTTTCGTAGGAGAAAATCTAGAATAAGTTAACAAATATGCTTGAGGATTGGAGAGTAGCACTTGAAAGAAAGGGACCAAGTAGGAGTAAAACAGAGTAATAGAGTATGAGTTGGAGGAACAGGAACAATAACGACAATACCTAGTGACGTTAGAGGTAAGGTTAGAGTTAAAGGTACGTTTGAGAGTTTTCAGTACCTAGAACAAATTAATGAGAGAAAATATACTGATGTGATTTGAGCATGACACGAGGTGAGAGGAATATGAAGCAGTAGGAACAGTAACAAAAATAAACGAAAAGAGAGGGAGAGGAAGACCTAAAAAGAGGTGTTTGGATGCGGTTGAGAATGGTATGCGAGTTGGGAGATCGGGTCAAGTGGAAGTTTAAGACCAGAGTGACCGACCCTAAATAGTTGGAATGAAAGCGAAGGAAAAGGAAGAAAATGGTACATAAAAAAAAGTAAATTAAAATAATCAACGGACAAACATTATTTTTAAATCACATTAAGTAGGTAGATTGATTGAAATATAGATTACCTACTCATATTTGTTTGTATTTTTAAGCCAATGGGAGGGGGTATTATCTTCCTCCATGTGGTGTTTCCCGGGGTAACGCTTATAGGCTAGACTAGCCCGACTCGAGTTTTTCCAAAATAAAATAAATGCCGAGACCCTGCAACACGTGTAACTAACTCGATACAATTCGTACGTCGTCGGTACCCGATTAACGCCGTTTTTGAAATTTTGTATATCCGTCTCTGGTGGTTATTCGTTTTTCCGACCGGTTAGCTCGACAATCGGAAAATAAATTAAAAAAAAAAAAAAAAAAATTTTTGGTATTGTAATGGTATAATCTGTACGCGGGGCAACAATGGTTATAATATAGGCACGGCCGATGCGAGGGGAAGGCCGCCCGTCGCGAACAGCATCTAAATCGGGTCCACGTAGTATGTCGTGCACACACACACATACACACACACACACACGTACATTGTATACAAGTACGAGTATATATTATTATATTATAATAAAATGTGTATCTATACGGATAAAATATAATTTTTATTTTTTTTTTATTTTTTATTTCCTTCTCTCCCTCGGCGGCGTGGGTTCGACACGGCGACGGCGGCGCGAGAAAACCATTATCGAATTCCGACGACCGGTAGTCCAGCGCCGTCGCTGACAATATTTCATTAGTCTGTGCGCGAGTTTCTGTATATCATAATATACATATATACCATGGTATGTATCGTATTGCGTGCGTGCGGGTGCGAGATAACAACAGCAACAACAACAATAATAATAATAATAATAATAATAATAATAAAAAAAAATAAATATATATAGGCAAGTATACGCACCTAGCGAAACGTCCGGGACTCTCGGACTCGCGGCCCGTTTCCGATCTTATCCCTCCCCCTCCCCCCGCGAGCTCTGACACGTAATCCGTCAAACGGCCCCGAGTAAAAGGTGAAATATCATTATTGTAATACGCGCGCACGGTCAACCACGGGGAATCGCCACCGCCCGCACCCGCGACCCGTTATCGGATCATCGTCAAGAGTATAATAATAATAGTATCTAACAATTCATTTAACTGTTATATTATCACGTCCGTGACGGTAATAATATCGGATTTTTTTCCGCCGCGTACGACTGACTCCGCGGGATCCCAATAGCGTGTATAATGTCTTGTCGTCGTTGTCGTTGTCCCTCGTCAAATCTCCGAATAAATTTAACTGCGTCGGGTGTATCGTTACAAATAGACGATACTTTGTGATAATATAATACGATTAAAGATAACCGACTGCAGTATGCACGATAGAGTGCCGTATGGGGGACATACGAAATTCGGCCGCGATCGCATAACGAGAGGGCGGAATTATCGCATTGATTGACCCATGAAATATTAGTGTTTATGCTGTATGCGAGACAAAGGCAGACGCCAATGAAACAAATTCAAATTATAAATTATAATTCATGGTTTAAACATTGCAATTTTTCGTCTTGACATATGGCTGCTAGATTTCCCATTTATTCATAGTGTCGACTATATTCATAGTCGTTTTACACACGTATAATTTCAGGTAAAGTGTCGAAATTTTGGAGACATCTAGTAAATTGTTCCCTGCTTAACATTACATATTATAGAGTAGTTTTAAGTATAGACAATTAACTACAAATCGTAAATGTAAAAGTTTAACAACGTTGTTTTGATCACAAATATGCTACTTATGCCAATGGATTTTATCTAATGCAAAATGCGCTTTTTAGTCTCCGATTCTGACTATAATGTGTCCCACGACGATATATCCATTATGAGATCTCAGAAAGTTTTAATTTTTATGGAATTTTTTTTTGAAAATATAAAAAACAATCAATAATTAATATATTTATATTATATTACATGTCCCGCGCCCATGCCAATTTGTTATTCTTTTTACATTTATTCCTGGTTTGCTTTGGCCGTATTAGTAAATTGAACGAGAAAAAAATAGGCGGAAAATAGGTAGTCAGTGGATTAAACGTGTGACAACATTTTTTCATCCATGTTACCATAGATACCCGCACAGCACAAGCATCCGTTACAATAATGCTAAAATTATGAGGACATAATAGTACTACACCGAAATTGTACAGATTCAAAGATGTCATTGTCATTTCCTTGGGCTTTATATTTCCCGTATCGTTATCGGACCAGATTTTTTTTACTTTTATATACCTGTATGGACTGCTTTTCCTGTATACCTAGTTTATGGATCGTAGCGAACGCGAGCGATTGGCAGACCGGTAACGAGCGTTACTGAGTTTTGTCTCATATTATTATACATGTAGATTGCCTCTCCCATATTTTTTACATGGACTCAGACGAGTACATGGGTCGTTAGTCACCAGTAAAACAATATAATAATCGTTGGTTCGATCGACGACCTACGGTGCTGAGTTGGACGGAATAAAATATCATTTTGGTGGAGGAAGAAAAATAAACGCGTTTATTTAGAGATCTTTCAGGTATATTCCCGGATTGCGGTTTATTATCTATAGGTTATACGGAAAACATAACGATCAAGATAACAAAAATTAATTGGTGAGTGGCAGACTTACCATTTATATGAAATTATAACGAGCGCTTTCCGGGCGGGTTTGCAAGTTGTGCCAGAAGATTAATGTGCGAGTACATACGCTGAAAAATGAAATCGGAATCATCGGTAGACAATAGATACTCGTATGGAAAAAAAATGCATAATATGAGTGGGTCGAGAGTGGGCATTTGAAGAGATCGAGTGATCGAAAAGCACGATTCTGCAATAATAATAGGTACAGAGACTAGGTAATTATATATTCTAGTCTACCTAATACTTGATTTAAACCAAAATGTGAAAACGATATAAATATCTGATTTTGATGGACTGTACTGAACCATGTCAAATAAATTTGTCGTCCCAGGGAAGAAAAGCCAATTCTATATAGTTTTAAATGCAAATAAACTCAATTTTGAAAATATATACAAGTGTAGGTACGTAAACTAATACACTAATACTAACACTCAAATATTACGTTCATGTTTCATATTAAATGAAAATATAATTAATAAATAAAGGTGATTCATGTTTAAGAAAACTATAATAAAAAAAATTCCTTCCCAATGCATTAACAACGACTAGACAAAATTCGCCACCAGAAACCAGCCCTAAAGTTGATGTCCACGAGATTTTCGGTAGAAAAATCGTGCACACCCGAACAAAAAAAAAAAAAAAAAAAAAAAAACATTAGTAAAACCAATACGTTAAATTTAAGTATAAATTCTTCAAAAAAATTGTTTTTAAAAATCCAAAATCAAAATCCTTGTAGCGAGATTTTTAAAATTTAACGATTAGAAATCTTGACGAACTCTAATCATAGGATTTCCGTTCCTATTGTGCCGCGTGCTATACATATACATATAAAAAATCATTCTTGTCGTGTTGATATTTGTAAAAAATACACGTTGCGTCGATGCTGATAATAATCATAATATAATGCGCGTGAGTTCGTACCGTATGCGATGTAGCGCGTGCTTCCTATTATTATTTTATCATTATTGTACGGACTTCCGAGGCGGCTACGGCGGCCTAAAACCATAACGTTGTCGTGTTGTCCGCCTCCGACGGGATATTTGTATACCGTGTTTTCGATGTAAATAATAATAACAGATGGAAAAAAAAAAAAAAAAAAAAATAAGTAAGTGACAACGGTGGCGACACCAATTTCGATACGGCGCGACGGCAGCGGCTGCACGTGGGACGCGCCCGAGTGAGTTGTGGACCAATTTGTAGGCAATTATTATTACAGAAATGTATTATTATAAAATATACTGTCGTCGTCGTATATCGCATGGCTCGTATCGTTTCCAGAGGAGGCGGTCAGCTTATGGCGATTGTGTCACCGCGGACATAATATATAAATACAACATAACAATGAAACGCCCGGAGAAAAGGTCAAATCAATACATCGAGACGATCGACAGACGGGTGACGCATTCACCTGTATGCAGACGGAATCCAGATAATAATGGTCAATAATTGAAAATGACAATACACCAAAATGACCGAAAAAAAAAAAAAAAAAAATTACTAAAACGGCCAGAGAAAAATTTGGCCCTAAAATCGGACATTTTTTTTTCGTGGCCACCGTTCGTTGTATGAACCGTAATAAAACAAGGACATTTTCTATTGGTGAAGCGGTCGGCAAGAGTGAACGGAGAATTCGTTTTATTTTTATGTATCCGCTAATAGTTTTGCCTTTCCAAATATTTTTAATACGCTTTTCGCGGAATTCCACCATTCCGAGTTCGGCATTTCCAAGTCATTAAGCGAAAATGAGCGATTTAATCAACACGGCATATTATGCATACGCCGACCTACATCCACGGGTTCGACAATGTAATAAAAGAAACTGTCCATTGACGCGGGCCGTTCGGACACAGCTTTTTGATGGGAAGATGCAGAAGTGCGCTTAGGTCTACGAACGGTTTTTATCAGAATTATTTAAACGAAACACGGTCGACACATTGTATTTACAGGTGAAAACCGTGCGACACCAAACCCGGGTCGAGGCTTAGTTGTAATTATCGGGCATACCGTAAGTACGCCGAAGAAATGACCGAACGGGTCGGCGTCTACGTGACGGCGCTCCTCCTTCTCGTGCGTCGGTGGCGGTGTACCTGTCCCGACCCATGTCTGAGTTCAGGTCCTGTGCGCACTCGGCCCCGGTGATCCCGGTCTCCCCATACATGTTTGTGTGTCGCCTCGATCGGGTCCTGGGCGGTGGCGCACGCTGCCGCCGTTGTCTACTGGTGGCGCACGCTGCCGCCGTTGTCTACTGGTGGCGCACGCTGCCGCCGTTGTCTACTGGTGGCGCGTCGCCCGCACCCGGAGAGCGTTTTCCCTTCGGCCCACGAACACGTGTATCATCCGCTGTTGCGCGGGCACGTCGTCGGTTTACCGCACCCGTATCGATATGGCCACGGCCGTGCATGCGCCTAATGCGACGACCGATTTCGTGACTTGTCGCGTGGAATTATCAATTTTTAATTAACAAACTTAAACACGCGAAGGACAGAGTCCGTAACACTGTCCACATGCGCAGCTCAATTCGTTGGGTCCATTAGAAATTTTAAATTTTCGCACAGAGACTACCCATGCAATAGTATGGAATGTAGGTGACCGCCGGGAAAGTATTCGACCCCCAAAGAAAGTACAGAAAACTAAAATCGAATTCTTTTCGTCGATTTACGATAAGTTAGTGACACGGTTGAAAAAAAAGTTATTGTTAATGTTAAAAAACGAATTAATTAACGGGAAATAACGGTTTACTGCGTGGCAGGAATTGGTGTGGAAACGTAACAGGAGTCACGTGGAAAAATGTTTGTGTATTTTTTCGTTCAAAATATACTGAGCCGTGTGGTACAATATTATAGTATATAGAATAATGTTTTTCTTAACCTTTTTAAAGTTACCGCTCCCTTTTGATGGACAAATGATTTTTCAACGTCACCATTATATTAAAATCCCGTAATTATGTTCATGAAAAAGAGAGGGGACTTTTGA